ATGGATCAAAATCTTTTGAAAAATGAAGTCGCTAGAGCGACGACTGTGATCTAAAAAAAAAAAAAAACAGTAATAGTGACTTTGACATCCTAAAGCAAGAAATTGTTTGAAGAATTCCATACTTTAAAATTTATATAAAGCATGATTAAATTCTATTGAAAATCTAGAACTGTCCTCTTAAGGATATAGTATACACCCTGTCCTCTACAGATAAAGAGTTTATATATACACCCATTTTTTCCAAATTATCCATGTGCATTTTTAAAAATAAAATTCATTGATGTGGGTGTACAAAATAATAGTTGCTGATATTATGTGTAATTTGGTTTACAACTTAGAAGTAGCAGTTTGAAAAGAATTTTGTCCAATCACAGCTCTGCTTTAGTTACCATAACAAGTAAAGGAGAACCAACATTTTCGAATAGTACCAATATATATCCGTCTCCTAGGTAACAAATCTGGAATCATATAATGCGTCAGATTGTAGGCTTTGATAAGCTACATTATTCAATAAGTTTCAATAACATTGCTCCAAGGAAAAAGAAGAAAACACGCATGCCTATCCACATGTGGCCCGATATTTCTGTATAGATTCATTGAAATGGGCTCTCAAGTCCAGGAGGAGTGTGGATAAGTTCCATGTAATCATAGGTCATATTTCGTTACCATGACAACTAAATGACATCAGACGTTTAGGAAAATAAGACCTTTGTAATCACCATTCTTCAAAACCTTTACATATCAATTTATCAGTAAAATGAAAAGATATCTCTATTTCGAAACAATCTGTTATCCATGTAAGTGTGTCCTGTTATCACGTGGTATCTGAGCTTGTATGGTAAACGTTTGTGTAAGACTTTGTCAAAGGATGTTTATTTATTGCTTTTTCTATTTGTGTAAAGTCATGTATGAATGTGATTGTGTTTCGCATGGTCTGAATGCTCGGAACCCATGTTGCAAGTTATTACGTAAGTTATTTTTTTAAGGTATTCCATTGTAGCGCTTGTGATAACGTGTTCTATGAGTTAGCATGAGACGGAGGTGAGTGATAGTGGTCTATAATTTGCGGGGTTGTGCCTGTCACCTTTTTTGTATACGGGGTTATATATAATAGACTTTAGATCCAAAAGTAGGGAAGTGTCATGAGACACATCAGGATAAACGCTTTTTGGAAAGAGAGAGATTCCACATTTTGTTGTCTGAAAATGTGCCTTACATGAACAGCAGTTCAAGGCTTTTCATTTTATGTAAAACATTAACTCTTCAGAGTTCTGGCCAAAGTTAGTCGGTTTATATATTCTCTCGTGTTAAATTTTCAGAGGTTTCAGAAGTGAAAAAGTGAGACAAAAAGATTTATAGGAATTTCAGAAATTATCGTTTAACTGTAAAGGATTCATCCTTCAGTTATAGTTTCTGAGACCCCCCAATTTTTTTTAAAAAGTATGTAATGAAATTTTGAGATCTTGCTGTGTTCGATCTGTTTCAAGTCGTACACGGACTACTAACAAGTATACAAATGTTGTCGGGTCGAGATATCCGTCTGCATCGAGACATTTCTCTGTCTACAAATGTTGTCGGGTCGAGATATCCATATGCATCGAGACATTTTCCTATCTGCAAATATTGTCGGGTCGAGATATCCGTCTGCATCGAGACATTTTCCTATCTACAAATATTGTCGGGTTGAGATATCCGTCTGCATCGAGACATTTCCCTATCTACAAATATTGTCGGGTCGAGATATCCGTCTGCAACGAGACATTTCCCTATCTACAAATATTGTCGGGTCGAGATATCTGTCTGCATCGAGACATCTCTCTATCTACAAATATTGTCGGGTCGAGATATCCGTCTGCATCGAGACATTTCCCTATCTACAAATATTGTCGGGTCGAGATATCCGTCTGCATCGAGACATTTCCCTATCTACAAATATTGTCGGGTCGAGATATCCGTCTGCATCGAGACATTTCCCTATCTACAAATATTGTCGGGTCGAGATATCCGTCTGCATCGAGACATTTTCCTATCTACAAATAATGTCGGGTCGAGATATCCGTCTGCATCGAGACATTTCTCTGTCTACAAATGTTGTCGGGTCGAGATATCCATATGCATCGAGACATTTTCCTATCTACAAATATTGTCGGGTCGAGATATCCGTCGGCATCGAGACATTTCCCTATCTTCAAATATTGTCGGGTTGAGATATCCGTCTGCATCGAGACATTTCTCTATCTACAAATATTGTCGGGTCGAGATATCCATCTGCATCGAGACATTTACCTATCTACAAATAATGTCGGGTCGAGATATCCGTCTGCATCGAGACATTTCTCTGTCTACAAATGTTGTCGGGTCGAGATATCCGTCTGCATCGAGACATTTTCCTATCTACAAATATTGTCGGGTCGAGATATCCGTCTGCATCGAGACATTTCCCTATCTACAAATATTGTCGGGTCGAGATATCCGTCTGCATCGAGACATTTTCCTATCTACAAATAATGTCGGGTCGAGATATCCGTCTGCATCCAGATAGTTCTCTGTCTTCAACTATCGCCGAGTTCAGATGTCTTTCTCCATTGAGATATTTCTCCTTTACAACTATCGCCGGACCGGGATGTATGTGTTCTTTTTCAGGAGTCTCCGTGTAAATTATTTTGTGTTTATACGTTGCCCTAGTTTTATGGAATTTGAGTTTGTATTGTGATCATGTTGCCATGGTTGTAATTTCATAATGTTTTCATGCAGTGTATATATTAGAAGTCTAATATAACAAACGGTGTATAACACAAGGCTGAATATGGATCTCTCAAAAGATGAAATTAAAATGGATACGAAAATGTATACTTTAAATACTTTCTTTATGTAAGGAAAGAATGGCACGGTCATATCACACATAGCTAAACTTAATAATTAATAACGGCACAAAAATGAATGGGTTAGATGCAATACTACAATAATGTGAATTGTTTTGTCTGTTCTATTAAGTACATTTACGAAGACAGTCACAAGACTTGGAAAAGTTTAAATCTACGGTAACCAACACTAAAATGCTAGTTATTTCCTTTCCATTGCTAAATTGGTAAAGGACTCTCCAGTACAAACTTCGCTTAAATATTTTGAAGGTATTTTTGAGGTCTTTCCCGTAACACCTAGTAATGCAATTCGTCTTTTGCATGAACAGTGCATTTAGAACTATGTCTTCATGACTGTAACGGCCGTTGGTATATGACTTCGACACCAAGGTCTCTCAGCCGTTTATTGGCTCCGTTATACGTCGGTCTTCTTTTCAGTGATTCGGTATATTGGTCAATAGCCCCGGACGTATCACCAGTTAATTCGAGGCACAGTCCAACCAAGTTGTAGACGACAGGGTGCAGGTGCGCTCCCTGCTCGCTGTGCGACGTCATCGTTTGCAGGTCATCTAATGCTTGGCATTGCTTTTTCAAATCTCTAAGACGGTAGTAGCAAATGAACGTCATAAAGGCAACATACGGTAAAGGAGGTATGTGAAAGCCCGTCAAAGTGTCTTCTACCAGATATCGAAGCTCTTCTGGACAGAAACGATTTGTGTCGCTGAAGAACAAGTCCAACGACAACGATGCAGCTACCTTTTCCCTTATCGACATACCATGGCTACAAATGTCTTTTTTGTATGCGTTGTCTCGATCTTGATTTGGTACTATACCTCCAGGCGAGCTCTTGAATACAGTGTAGTGACCATATGACTCTTTCACCCTGTGTAGAATTCTCAGGACGCTATCGTAACTACCTAACATGTAGAGAAATGTTGCGAGTGTCAACCATCCACGGCTTGCATCGATCGCTGTACAATGTGCAAGGGTGTATTTACAACGACGTAACTCCCTGTATCTGTCTTTGTTGCTTTGTTTCTGTGTATGGTGAGCCTTTATCACCGACGTACACTTTTCACTACTATAATCAAAACATTCTTCAAATCTTGTCATCGGATCGTTGCCTGTGTCACCGACATCTGATGAACTGGAAGAAGGGTTCGGGTGTACGATTTGCTCTTTCAAAGTGGTTTTTGCCTCAATCTGTGTTGATGCAGTAGTCTCGCTTGACTTCAAATCGTGTTGGTTTTCATTAGTTGTAGAGGATGGCTTGCCTTGGTCGGGGAGCAAAGAAAGCATCCCAAGCAATGTGTTAAGCAGAAGAATCCAACGGTTATTTTCATCTGCGAACGTTTCCGAATCACGAAAGAATCTCAACGACCGCGTCACAGACTTGAGAGCGCTTTTACTGTCCTTTGAATACATAAGTGTGTTGGACATGAATACAATCATGTCCTTTCTAAATTCTGCTTCTTTTGCGTTCATTAAAACCAGTTCCAATTCCACCAAGTCCTTCATAGAAGGGGTTGTATTCAGATCTTTGAAATACTCGCATTTCTTTAACATTCCGATCCCCATTCCACAGTACCTGTCGAGTATATTTGCAAGAATTTCTTGTCTTTCTCCGAATATTCGTCCGAGAAACATGTTATTTTTGGGAACGAAGTAGTTTGGACAGTGGCCTTCACGTACCCACTGGGTCAACATTTTCAAGCAATTCTGATAGTTGATGAAAAGGAGGGCCCCATTTGACCACAGTTGTTTCGGTGTATTCTCAGCGACGAAGAAAACTACTGTCTTTAAAAAGTAAGAGGAAATGAGGTCCCGAACTTCTTCGTGTTTATTGATGACCTGCTTCAAGAAAAGTTTCAGAAGAGCATACACCTTGAACTGAAGATGGTTGAGTGAATGAACCAGATATCTCTCAGCCCGACAAAATGACACGCGCCACTCGACTGACACGTTTTCTGATGTCTTGTCTCCGATAGGAACAACATGACACCCCTGTTGCACGATATTGTCGATCATAGCAGCTGTTGGCCAGCCATGGGGCCTATTTCTAGTGATCCAGTCCCGAGCGATAGCTGGCCATTCCGGGCAGTGGTACGCAGTCGCTAGATCCACTTCCATATCTGGATTATCCAAGATACTGGCACAAGGGCCGTGCTCAACAACGCCTGGACAGAGAGATGCTAATTTACTTCGTAAAATACTACTTGATACAACTTTCATCCCCTTGTGCTCAACTATGGCCGTTTGAAACAAGGATTTGGTGAAAAATGAAATATTTCCAACTTGCAAAATCACGTGACCAGGTCTACAATCGTCATCCCTCATTATCAAGACATGGTGCTTAAAGTACTTCTTAAAATGTTGATCCGATTTTAGGGTTAATACAACCGTGTCCTTGACAACCAACATAATATCCATATCTGAGCCTGGCAGCCACAAGCCTTCAGATCGACTTCCGCCATAGAACTTCTGGTGGAGATCGTCCGTGTCGTGAGGATACCATACCATTTCATCTACTTTCCTCCTGAGTGCCAGTTCGTCCTCCCGGCCGGTAACGATGTTTAGAAGTCTTGACAGATACATCGAGGACCGACACATAGAATCAATCACTTCCATGATGAAATATCAAAAGATCTTGCTTGAAAGAGAGTATATCAGCAAACTGATTTAAATTGATCCGGGATTATGTCGGACATGTTGATTGAGATTTCCTGGTAGATAGCATGGTCATCTTTTAAATCTCTGGAATCAAATAAAAAGAAAATCACATACAATAATCAACATATCATATGGAACAGATCCCGAAAGGGTCAAATTAATTAGGAGTACCGAAGAAAACGACAACGAGATACATTTTAACTTATTCAGGTAAAAAGCTCCGGGTTGTTTGTAACGAGCGTGAACACATACGGAATTATGGCTGAAATGTCCTAGTGGATTCCAGCTGGAATAGCTTTCCCTGCTGTATCTGTTAGTTTTGTCAGCTTAGCGATAACAAGAGATATGTTTTCTGTGTAGTGTATATGTATAAAACGCTATTAGCCATGCACGTTTTTGTTTCTTAATAGTCGCTTTCTTATTACGATGCAAGATGTACGCGTTCTGCGTGACTGTACAACAACAGTAACTTTGCAGGTCGTACGTAAACAGGTCTAGAGCAATAAGCAGATACCATTCCAAACTACCCATGACCAGATTCACCGATAGATTCCCTGGCCTATATCAATGTGCAAAACTCATACATCGTACACATACTTACCCAATACGTAAAGGTTAGTGATAAGTGCCAACTTTCGATCTGAATAAATATAACAGACTGATGACGTACTCTCCCCTCCCAGTCGGCTGCACATTACAAACTGACACCACACAGGAATGTGTCGTTCTATTTTCAGATACTCGATAAACGACGTAGTAAAGAATGATATTAAAGGCCCGCGATAGAAGTTTAGAAAGTTATGTAAAGATCTTTACACGGAAAGTCGCCAAAATACTGAGATAGTATTATAATGTTTCAACACATGGCATATTTTTTATTTGATATACTTCAGCTTATATATGTTTACGTTGTTAATTAATTATTCTATTGAAATATCACTTATTTTAAGAAAAGAAAATTGTGTTAAGTTCGGCGTTAATCATACTTACTTTCTGGTAAACGTTAATGCTTAAATTATGTTTAAATGGATGCAAACATATGTACATGTCTTTAGCAATTACGGTTAACTGGTGTATTTGTGGAACAAAATATAAAAATAACTTTTTATTTTATTCATCAGGCAAATTACACTGTGCTTGGTTAGCCAAAGTACTATTTTTTTCTAAATATGGACGAGTGTTTATCTGTATTTTGTTCATCTAACATCAATCGTGAGGGCAAAATAAATTAATGAAAAGTCAATATCCTTGATGTAAAAATGAAAGACGGTAGACCGTATTACAAATATAATTATGATATTAACCGCTGAAACACGAAGACATGAAATTCATAAGCCAACTGATACTATAACGATTAGCGATTTACGTATGGAGACGAAACCCTGTAGCTAATTATAACCAACTTCTGAATGGGGCAACAGAGATCAAAAATTGGTACGGCTTTTCGAATTCCTTCAAGAGTTTTTGGTACGTGCTGCTACCGGCCTTTTGCTTATTCTAGACCCAAGTGTGATAATCTATCCTTATTTTTTTCATTGCTCTCCAAATATCACATACAATTTAATTTTAGGTGATTGATAAAAAGTATTTGCTTCGCTCTGATAAGTAAACACAGGCCACATAAACGTAAACATTCCAGACTGAACTCTTTGTCATTGGAGATAGGAATGTCCTGTTAGCGGGAAGTTAAAAATGGAGGTATTTCTGAAAAAACTTGTGTCAAAATCGGATTTGAGGTAAAATCTAAGTGTCTTATTGTTATATTATTTTTTAAAAGAGTAACACAATTTTATTTTATACCACTCTTCATTCTTGTATAGAAGTGTTCGCTTGAAATTTAGATTGCGTCATATGAATTGTGATGGCTCGATACCCAATTTAAGAGAGAAAAAAGCGCGGTTCGATATGAGCGCATTTATTGAGCTGGTAGGACCGTTTTAAAACGTATCCTTTAAAGATTTGTATATGGGTATCTTAATAAATTACTCTTCATTACTTCACTATATAAATATCTTGATATAAGCTTCTTTAAGCACCACTTGAATAGATAAAGATTATGTTTGGTCTATCCCCCCCCCCCAAAAAAAAAAAATGTACAAAAAGTGATGCAAACAGAGCTAGCTTAAATCTGAATAATTTTAACACCTGAATGCTGACAGTGTGAGTTTTTTCTCTCCAATATATTACCTTTTGCCCTGTTTGTTTTGACAGTGTTTTGACAAAGCGTATGATAAGAGAAGAGTACAAGAAACATGTTGGCCGGGATCACTTGGAAGTGGAGGAGAAGACAGAGTTGTCTCGCCTGGTGACAAATTTACTTGAAAATCTGGTATGCATTGTTGGAAAGTTTTGTTTTATGGGTAGAGAAGGGACAAATGTCTACCAGTCTCTAGCCAGACACTCTATCATTGACAAATGGGAACTCTCCACTAGCTGAGATATATAAGGAGGCATCGCAATCTCAGTGTGGTCAATAGGAACAAGTTTGTTAAAGGAAGGAATAATGAAAATCACCCTGTCCCAGCTGGAGTTCTAAGAAGTGATCCTTCGGTCTCTGGTCAGAGACACTAACACTTGGCCAAAGAGAAATCCCAACTAGCCAAAGCTATTAAAACATCCAAAATACTCTGAACTTGCACACTATTCTATCCTTCACAAAGTCTCTGGCCCCAAAGACAACACCCCATTTCTGGCCCCAAAGACAACAACCCAGGTTTGACATCTCCAAGGAAGCATCTCCTATAGCTTCAATTTCTAACTATTTTCACTCTTATCCGCCAGCTTTCCCAATTCAGTCGAGAGTTTCCTGATTTTCACTCCACAGCACTGACCGCCTGGCCACATAATCAACGCCTAGCTCATTGAGTACACTGCCCAATTAGTGATTAGTGTAACCCAGTTCCAATTTATCCTCGCTGACCACTATGCTTGGGAAGACACTCGTTCATGGCTGATTGTTCCCTACCTAATTATTGGTAGATCTTTGGTCAGGAGCGGGTCCTGGTAAATGGTTGGTTAAGATGAAGGAATTATATAGATAATCAAGTAGTTACTACCATGCTTATATGAAAAGTTGACTTAAATTTCAAGCTTATTGGGTTTCTCCTGAGAAATGTGATAATGGTTAAACAGGAAGTAGCTATGCTTATTCCAATTAGTTACAGATCCATACTATTTCTGAATTTGCATCTGTCTATAGTTATATTCTAAATATATATTTCACAGTAAATACAAAATTGAAATATGGACCATTAGGTCTGGATTGAAACATTTGGAATTTTATGATAAAAATTATGTCATGTATCTTTTTTTAATATTTTTTTTTTGCCTCTTTCTGTAACATTTTGATAAAATAGTAACAACAGGGGGGTGGAGGCCCAAAGTCCCTACAGGGTATTCAGTTCCATATAGTGGCAGTGGGGATCCAAGGATGGATACTCAAATATTTAGCAGGGCTCATCAGGGAAGAATAAATAAAGGTAGAAAGGATGAGGCACAACACTATGCAACAGATCCATGTGTGTTGTGCCTCATCCTCTCTACTTTTATTTTGATAAAATGACAACTCAAAATTTCTTGAGATGATTAATGTTATTTTTCCTTATTTCAATCAACAAATTCTTTCAGAATTATCATATTTGGAAATGCATATTAAATTACTTACAACCAAACAGATAATCATAATCTTAATATCTGTAATATTACATGAGTTCAATGAATACTGAGAATTTAAATGAATAAATTCTAACTTGATCCAATTACTTGCGAAAAAGCAGATATTTTTTTTCAATGTATGATATAGCAGGGTCCGGAAAAGCACTCGTCCGGTCGTCATGGACGAGTGAAAATTGTTTCGGACAACCAGATTTATCTTTGTCACTCGTCTGTCGGACGAGTACTTTTCTTCCAATGATATTAATGTTACAATTTAAATTTACAAAAGGCAGATTTCAATAAAAATGTAAAGAAAATTTAAAACAAAGAAACGTGTTTACGGTACTTTGAAAACAAAATATTCCTAACTTTTGATTACACCGGAACTCCCATGACGTCGGATATAGCATTCGGAATACCGTAGTCATTTTCCCACGGTCATACTGATGTCAGGTGCTCTCGGGCGGTACCAACATGAACCGGTCTGTATTTAGCAGCACCTAGTCAGTAGGATATAAACAAACTCTACAGCTAGGCCTAAGTCGGGCACAATGTCTGACCCAAAGCAGCCATCACTGCATAGTTTTTTCACTAAAACTTAAAATAAAAATAGAAAAAAAGTCACATGTCACATCCTCGCTGATTAAGTTGCCATTTCATAGCTGAATTTGGATGAGTAAATTTCCAATCCGGACGAGTAAATTTTTCAGCCCACTAGTCCTGTGCCTAGTGGTTTAAAATATTTTTCCAGACAACTGGTTTAGTAAAGCATGCACTTAATCAAAAGTTATCAAGAAGTATTGATTAAATATACATTAATAAATTTTTCCTTTGTGACAAATGTCGTGACGCTCACGGTATTGTGGCGAGTCAAAAATGTTGTTCACACTTTTCTCCCCTGGAGAGTTTTGTAAAGTTGGCAGATATGTTAGTTATTTGTTTTGCCTACCTACCCCGAATTTTCCCAACATGTTACAGGGAACCCATATATTTTTTTGTCTGCCTTGACTTTGTTAATGGACAATTGAAATATTTTACAATGTGTATTTTTCAGATGAGTAATAACGAGGCAGCTGTCCAACGTGGAGAAGATGATGACAACCAAAATGAGAAAGAGAATGACAACCCTACATTTATCTCGGGAAAAGGGTTAGGGGAAAACTCAAAAAATGTTATTCATAAATCTAGTCCTAAAAAACTTCTTACACCATGGGAAAAACCATTAACTCCAAGTAAAAAAGAGACAAATAAAAAAGTACATGAAAAAGTCTTATCATCAGAGAAAAAATGCTCACCAAATAAACTGTTGCAAAAGAGCCCTTTAAGTGCAACAGATTCAGAGAGTCAATCCAACACATCTAAGTTAAGAGTTGATGAAGTGTTAGATGCTGTTATGAACTCTGATGTTGAAGATGACTTGATGTCAGAATCAGGGGAAAGTGAAGAAGATGAGGAGGAAGTGAATTCTGTCTCTGAAGATGTGAATGTAAAGACAGCCAGTCAGAAGTTTAAGAAATATCATTTGGTGGAGGAGGATGATGAAGATACATGGAAACCATTTACACCTGTGAAGGAGACAAAACCTGTCAAGGGACGAATCGAGAGCTCCTCAGATGACGTTTCTCAGTATTCTAGTGATGATGGTAAAAAGAGTAAAAGATGTGCTGAGCTAGACAGAAAATTCAGAAAAGCATCAAAGAAAAGGTCATTGATTATTTCTAGTGACGAAGAGAGTGCATCTGAAAGTTGGTCAGAAAATAGTGATAATGAAAAAGTGAACAGAAAATCGCATCAAGTTTCAACATCAGCATCCAAAAGAAGAAAACTAAATTCAGATAAGGAAAAAAAATCATCAAAAAAAGGTAATTCAAAACCTATAAAAAGTATTTCTAGTACTGATGAGAAAATCTCCACTAAAGTTAAAAAACCTCAAAATCAGGTCACAAAGATGTGTGCTGAAAAAGGGAAGAAAACTTCTTCAAATTCAAAAAAAGGTAAAAGAGGGAAATCTCCAATCAGAAAAAGGAAAGCACAGGTTTCTTCTGATAGTTCTAGCTCAGAAGAAGAAATGCCACTAGCAGTTATTAGAAGAAATTCAAAGGCTGAGTCAAGCACTTCTGATTCAGATGAAGGACTGTCTTTGGCAAACTTAAGGAAGAAGTCAGAGGTAAGCAAAAAAAAAATGTTATGTCAATGTTACTATGTAAGAGGTAGCTTTAATGCTTCACAGGAGAATTTATATATATATATATTTTTTACACATGAGCTTTAATGTTATTTGTTCATTTTAGACATAATGTTTTTGCCAGATTGCTTGCATAGGTCTGTCTTGGTCCTTTAAATGAGAAACTTTTGAGTAATGCTGGAGAAATAAGTGAATATGACAATCATGTGGCTGTTATTGTACACAGGAACAGACTGGATCAGAAGTTGATAGTCACAACAGTGGGCTTGATGAAGAATCTCCTGTCAAACTGAAGAAATCTCAATCCAGGAAAAAACCATCAAAGGTATTGAACCATGTTGTATCCGTACTCAATAACTAATATATTAGACCTATTAACTTCTAACTACTTGTTTTCTTTTTGTAATATGCTTTGTATATATCAACCTAATAGCTGCTCGTAGATACTTCGTAAACAATAGAATAATGAAATATGGAAACAATACTTGTTCTAGAACCAAGGCACATGTAATTGAAAAATACTTAGTTATTAATTAGCTCATTGTGGTTAGATGATGGACTGTTCAATTTACACTTTGTGTGTTGTCCATTGTCCCTCCATTTGTCCATAAATTATTTGTGCTATCACTGTTTCTTGAGAAGTCCTATATTAATCATTCTCATATTTCATATTCATGTTCCCTGACCCGGAGGTCCCCTGCATGCCACGTTTTAATGCATTCATGTATCAGAATATTTCAGAATATATATATGTACTTGATATTCTTCTAAAATTATCAAATACAGAAAAAACATGAAATTTATTGAATTATAGGGCTTGTGTTTCTCCACATAAAGATTTTAAAATTACTTATTCCTTCCAGTCACTTTGGATTTTCCTTGGTCACTACCTATTTAGGCCCTTAGCATTACTGACAAGTCTTTAGAAGGATGAAAAAGCTGTATGATGAGATCTCATGCAAGAAAAGAATGACCATTCATGGGACAGCTTGAATATACAATTAGTTAGTCCTGTGCTTTCCCTATCCCTTTATTCTATCAAGCTGTTAATTCCAAAACAGAGAATCCATTTTCTCTTAGTCCAGATCAAGATGTTGCATGTACAACAATTTTTTTCATGGAGTAATTTCTTTAAATGTTTAAAATTCAATTTCCTGGTATATAAACAGGTAAATAAAACATTTTCCTTTTATGAAAATCAGTAAAGCAGTAGAATTTTCAATTTATTGTAGACTGAAGTAACTATATCAGGATTTTACTATACGTTTATTAATGATAGAATTATAATATGTGAACTGAAGGAAAGATATCAGGATTGTAGTAATTGTTTATTTAATGATAGAATTATAATTTATTGTAGACTGAAACAACTAAATTAGGATTGTACTAAATGTTAATTTAATGATAGAATTATAATTTATTGTGGACTGAAGGAAGAGAGCACATCTGAGGGAAACCAATCTAGCACTGACTCGGAAGCTGAGGAATCACCTGTTAAACCTAAACCAACAAAACGTCAGCTCAAAGTAAGCTGTTTCTGTGCTAACTTACCAACATCACGAGACTTGTACTGTTGCACTGATTCTTGTTCTTGTGTTAAGAGAGAGATGTGAATTAATCCATAGATATTGCATTTTGTTTTACATTTTTATCAGAGCAGAACTTACTAAATTGGAGGCATAGTTATGGCTTACAAACGCTTCCTAGAATTTCCATTTTTCTCAGTAGAGTGCTATGTATAAAAACTTTTTATATTTCGTGAGGCCCTCATGAACTTGTACTGTACAACACATTTAGTTGATTTAGTCCTGATGGTATAAGTAAAGCCATTTAAAAGGTGTGCCATGTTGGTCCCAAAAAAACCCACTGCATTTATCCTGTAATAAGCCCTGGAAATCAACTTAGAAAATCAATCCTTACGGAAGATGAAATAGAATTTAGTGTACTTCTTCTGAACAGCAGTAAAGATAGATAGGCTTAATACCCGACACTGGATAGATATAATTATAATTGTTGGTGATACTGGCATTGTTACAGAAACCTCAAGTTATGGACAGTGATGAGTCAGGCTCTGAAGAAGAGGAAGTCCAACAGAAAAAAAAGAAAATTCTTGTCAAATCATCAAAAAAGAAGACAACACCAGCAAAGAGTGCAAGGAAAAATATCTCATCCAAGGTATGATTTGCTGAAGTAGGATTAAAGGAATGCCAAAGTCATTAAAAAAACCAGTCGGAAACATTAAAACCTGAAATATCAGGATGACTATAGCCATCATGTGTCATCTTTCATTGTGGGACATACCTAAAAAGCTGGTGTTGTGGTATACACACCCAGTCCACAGTTTATGTAGGACACCATTGGCCCAGAGACTGTTGATCTCAAAATATACACATACAGCTCTCTGTTAATGTTGGACACCAACGATTTCAGGTCCCTGAGACAGTTGATGTCTGTTGTCTTATATTACACAGTCTCTGTTAATGTTAGACACCAATGATTCCAGGTCCCTGAGACAGTTGATGTCTGTTGTCTTATATTACACAGTCTCTGTTAATGTTAGACACCAATGATTCCAGGTCCCTGAGACAGTTGATGTCTGTTGTCTTATAATATTACACAGTCTCTGTTAATGTTAGACACTAATGGTTTCAGGTCCCTGAGACAGTTGATGTCTTGTTTTATATTACACAGTCTCTGTTAATGTTAGACACCAATGATTCCAGGTCCCTGAGACAGTTGATGTCTGTTGTCTTATAATATTACACAGTCTCTGTTAATGTTAGACACCAATGATTCCAGGTCCCTGAGACAGTTGATGTCTGGTGTCTTATATTACACAACAGTCTCTGTTAATGTTAGACACCAATGATTCCAGGTCCCTGAGACAGTTGATGTCTGTTGTCTTATAATATTACAGTCTCTTTTAATGTTAGACACTAATGGTTTCAGGTCCCTGAGACAGTTGATGTGTGTTGTCTTATAATATTACAGTCTCTTTTAATGTTAGACACCAATGATTCCAGGTCCCTGAGACAGTTGATGTCTGGTGTCTTATATTACACAACAGTCTCTGTTAATGTTAGACACCAATGATTCCAGGTCCCTGAGACAGTTGATGTCTGTTGTCTTATAATATTACACAGTCTCTGTTAATGTTGGACACCAAAGATTTCAGGTCCCCGAGACAGTTGATGTGTGTTGTCTTATAATATTACAAAGTCTCTTTTAATGTTGGACACCAAAGATTACAGGTCCCTGAGACAGTTGATGTCTGTAGTATATAACACTGTCCTCTTTTAATGTTTGACATGAATGATTTTAGGCCTCAGAAAGTGTAGCAGATGATAAATCAGATCAGTCCAGTGAAGATGATGAAGTCGAGGCTGCACTGACCAAAGTATGTGTTGAACTGCTAACAAAGTTTTGTTTCTGATTTTGATTTAAAGTTTGGTTCATTGATTGAAGTTCATCTGAATAGGCACAATATCTGAAGTACAAGCGGAATTTTACAAAACTTATAAGTAATGCCTTTAAAAATGTTTACAACATATTGCACTAATTTTGTTAGGGGTAGCATAGTTTTTGTCTAATGAAGTTTGGGATTTTTTTCCTGGAAATCTGGCACCAGGTTAAACTTTTTATCACATGGTAATCATCTTTTTAAGAGTTTTTTTAAATGTATTTAAATTATGACAACCTTTATCACATGCATTTTTAATGTATTCATTAGTATTTGATTGTGCTCATTGATTTTTCCGAGCACCATGGACAGCAGATCTACTAGATTTGATTTTCCCATTGACTGGAAATTTGGACAAAGTTTTGTTCAACTTGGGCTGTTCTCTTTTTAGCCCATTTATCATCAGATGGTCGGCTGTTGGAATCTCCCTTCCATTGTCTGTCATCCCCCATAAACAAAACTTATCCCTATTTCTCAAGAAGCGCAGGAGGGATATTTTTGCAAATTGAATATACATAGATTCTCCTTTGTTTAAAGTTTTGCTTAATTTCATTTTGAGCCAGATCAGTGAAAGAAAATGATAAAAAAAAAAAATCGGCATGTTGACTATTTCAAAGTTTTAAGTATCACTATTTCTTGAGAAGTAGAAGGAATATTATTCAAACTTTGTTCCCCATGGTCTGTCTTTGTAGCCATTGAATTTTGAGACTGATCAGTGAAACAAAATGGCCCACAGGTGGCCATCTTGGATTTTGACAACTGATGATTGGGCAGCTATTTCTTGAGAAGTAATAAATGGGATATTTTTCAAATTTGTCATGTATATTCCCCATGGTCCCTAGAGAAAGAAATTTACCTGCAGACAGCCATGTTGAATTTTGACTGTTGAAGTTTGTTATCACTATTTCTTCGGAAGTACAAGAAAGATGTCTCTCAAATTTGATGTAGAAGTTCCCCTTGCTTCCAAGATGTAGCCATACTGTTTTGTCTCTGCTCATTAGATTAAACTATCTGACCAGATATCTTTGATTTTGGTAGTTCAATTTTTTTATTGCAATTTCTCAGAAATTTCTTGTTAGATCTTTCTTGTATATATCCTTTGTGATTCATCTTTTTAACCCAGAAGTCTAAAGTCATGGAGAGTGACAGTGAATCAGGATCAGGCAGTGATGAAGACAGGCAGATGAAAAATAAAACCACAACTCCTGTCAAGTCATCAAAAAAGAGAAATCCACAGAAGAAAGCTCGAAAGAAAAATATACCATCAAAGGTACATTATAGATTGCTGGGAACACCAAAACATTTTGAAATGCTGTTAGGACACTTTGTGTCTTGATGTACAAGGTTTAGACATGGTGGTATCAAGAACTCCATTGCCAATGAACGAATAAAACAGCTAATCTGCTGAGAGAGCAAAGTGAATTGTTGAATTTTTTTTTTTTCAATTTTAAACAATTTTATTGACATATAGATACATATATGACGAAGGGATTGGACATTATGCAGAGCCTATTTAAGTCCTCTTCCACAATCTGTTAAAATTTGTTTCCTTTGGTGTCCATCTATAAAGTTCTACTTTCAACAAATTCTTCTAAATGCTAATCAGACAAATCACAACTAAATTTGTTAAATTGTTCAGAAGAATCTTTATAGATTTTGATTCAAATTTTCATGAATAATCTGTCACCTCTTGAAGGCTTCTATTTGTGAGGAGGGTGGGGGTGGGGGGAGAAAATATAAGATTTGATTTCAATATTTTGGTAGATAGTCTCAATACTTTTAATATAACATTCACAAAAGATACTTAAAACTTTTTAAAATAAAAATGACCACTAAGAAAGACTGTTGTAAATTGTATGATCTTAACAGTGATCAATCTATTTTCATGAGTCCTTTTCAACTTAATTGTTAAAAACAATTGGTCCCACAATGTGAAAGATAAGTGTTTCCAGAAAGGCTTTGAAGACTCATATAACATTATATCTGAAACAGATTTCATTAATCAAAGGTTACAGGCTATAATATTTTGTAGGTTTCTCTATTTTGACATAAATTTCACCTGGGTAGCCTACTACTAGTATACTGAGACAATGTTCACCTCATAATGCCGTTGTAGCCGAGTGTATTTGGCCGCATGTGAGTTTGATTATCTCCCAACACTTCAGGACTTTCTGGTCCTTTTCAGGAGTTTCTAGCATCCAAAATCTGTGACATCATTTCTGCTATTGCACATCTGCCAGTCGATAGTGACTGGTGTTATCACGATAGAAGTGTCTTACAATATGGGAGTTTTACAATCGGTGTCATTTCAGCAATGGTACTGCTGGTGTTGTCCAGGGATATAATTGGCCCTATGGAAACTCAAACCTCAGCTTCTTGGATACAAAAGGATATGGAAAGTTTGGGAGGCGAACAGATTTGAGATGAGCAAGTAATACATTAATCTGATGGACTCTTCATTACCTGCCCAACATTGGAAGAAACGCTAGTTTTATAATACCCTGTTGCAGTCAGTACTAGCTGGTTGATGTGCAATAGTAGAAATGATGTCATTGATTTTGGATACTGGAGATTTCCCAACACAGTCTTAAGTTATGAAAAATATGTAGATGCACAGCCAAAAAATAGAAGTTAAGATGACTTCTCCGTACCAATCATCAACTTACAGCTTCTCTGTACCAATCATCAACTTACAGCTTCTCCGTACCAATCATCAACTTACAGCTTCTCTGTACCAATCATCAACTTACAGATTCTCTGTACCAATCATCAACTTACAGCTTCTCTGTACCAATCATCAACTTACAGCTTCTCTGTACCAATCATCAACTTACAGCTTCTCTGTACCAATCATCAACTTACAGCTTCTCTGTACCAATCATCAACTTACAGCTTCTCCGTACCAATCATCAACTTACAGCTTCTCTGTACCAATCATCAACTTACAGCTTCTCCGTACCAATCATCAACTTACAGCTTCTCCGTACCAATCATCAACTTACAGCTTCTCTGTACCAATCATCAACTTACAGCTTCTCTGTACCAATCATCAACTTACAGCTTCTCTGTACCAATCATCAACTTACAGCTTCTCTGTACCAATCATCAACTTACAGCTTCTCCGTACCAATCATCAACTTACAGCTTCTCTGTACCAATCATCAACTTACAGCTTCTCCGTACCAATCATCAACTTACAGCTTCTCTGTACCAATCATCAACTTACAGCTTCTCCATACCAATCATCAACTTACAGCTTCTCCGTACCAATCATCAACTTACAGCTTCTCTGTACCAATCATCAACTTACAGCTTCTCCATACCAATCATCAACTTACAGCTTCTCTGTACCAATCATCAACTTACAGCTTCTCCATACCAATCATCAACTTACAGCTTCTCTGTACCAATCATCAACTTACAGCTTCTCTGTACCAATCATCAACTTACAGGCTATATGCCTAACTTATTTCATTGCTTGAATCATTATCACTGAACATCAGTTAGTTATTCTGATGCTGAAATTGTATAGGTCAAATAATGAACTTTACCTCTTAGTTGGTTTATTGTGCTAAACATGCTTTTTTATTAAATTTATTCCATTTAATGTATACAGCCTAAACACTATTAATGAAAATGTGTGTAGTGGCAGAATTGATGTTACAAACGATCAACCAATGACAATCTTTTTGTGTTGGAATGGAAATAACTAGATATTTTA